CTTAGACGTTGATGCCTTATACCTATTTCTGTTAGACCTCCCATTCTTTCCTGGATACTATGACCACATTACTTAAAAAAAAAGTTTTTCAAAAAGACAATTCATCGTCCTCACTCTAGAATTTCAAAACATAATATTACACGATGTCCCAGCTTCACCGAGTTTTTGAACACAGACTTCGTAAGCATGCCTTCTGTTTAAGGAAAAATAATTGATGTGTGAGTGGATCAATCGCCTATTGAAGAGAAGTGTGTCAAAAAGATGATGTAGGGAGCATGCCCTAATTGGGTTAAGAGAAATAGTAATATCACTAATTTGTCAGTGCCATAGAAATACTTTCATCTGTGGATATGGAATGTTCTCTTAAACCAAAATCGGTATTTTTTACTTATTTGGTGTAATACTGACTTTTGAGAAGAATTTCATTTCCGCATAATACTGTTGCTTAATCACTGATGGAAGCACCATTTCTTAATTTTAAAATATTTTTGTTAATTTCTTTTGTGTGTTTTTTAAAGTTATTTAAAAAATTAATTATCAAACTAATTCTCTGTGTTTAAAAACATTTGAACAGTAGGGCAGAGTTTTTAAATAGCTTGAAGTATATTAATTCTGTGCCCTGCATTCACTTTATCATAAAGCCTAAATTTGGTCACAGAACAGACTATAAATTGGGACTATTTTCCTACTTTGGTGGACAATTCCAGTATATCCTAAGACAATCATCTTTTTAGGTGTAGTATTGTTTATTGAGACATTGGTAATTTCAGGGTTCAGATTGTTACTTTCTGGCAGGCTTATGGAATGAAAGTTAGTAGACTGATTATGTCACTTTCAGAATGAGATAGGGAATTATTGCTAGTCTTCCTCTAGGTCTGCAGTAAATAATATTTTAAAATTTTATGTTATGTTACCAGTATTTTCCCTTTTGAAGCTGCTGCAAATGTCCATTTGCCCATGATTGAAAATTAAGATTAGTAAACTTTACAGTATGACCCATAAGTTTTCTCAAATATCAAATCAGTATGATCGACCATTGTAAAATGTGAAATGATCATATATGATTTATCCTAAAGTAAATATTTCCAAACCATAGAGAAATAACCTTAATATTTTTAAAAACCTTATTTCTACCCTCTTTTGCATGTTACTGATTTTTTCTAAATTATAAAAATGTGTTGTGATATATTAAAATCTGCAAGAAAAATGGCTTTAAGTGTTTTAGGGCAGTAAAAAATTTTATTAGAAATTTTTGAAGAATGAATGTTTTAAAAAAACACAACTTTTGTTTCTTTATCTTTTATTAAAAATAACTTTTAATGGTTCCATACTATATTTTGGGACTTGTTTTCATGGCTTTTTATAGTTATTTGGATACATTCCTTTTGTCTCAGACCATATGGCTAGTTCTCCGACCGCTTTTTGTTTGTTTTTAATAAACCAGCCGTTCAGCCATCAGGCTTATATTTTGGAGGTTTCTTCTAGTTGAGGTAGAAAGGTCTTAGATATTAGGAAAGGCGGGTACGATGTCCTAACACTTTCATAGTAGAGCTTACAAGTGAAGGAATTTATCCAAATAGGTATCTTCAGTGTGTAGCACCAGTACAAATAGGGGTTTCATTAGTCGTTGGATCTGATGAAGCAGTTATAGATCATCTCTCACTTTGCTCTGAAGATTATTGTCATTTCAGGCTACATTATTTTCTCAGCAGTTTCCATTGTAAGGTTGAAAGTCCTTTTTCTTTATTCAAATCATCACTAAAGGTTAAGATAATCAAATAGGAGTTAAAAATAAGTTATGTTTGATTGTTTTTCCTGAAAATAATGGTGAACCTATTGTCTATATTATGGATATTAGGCAGACATGCACTTGTTTCGATCATAGCAGAAATTACATTTGGAGACCATAATCACTTGATTTTCTAGTGGTGTGAAATGCTTTTTAAAAATTGTGCTTGTCTGTAACTGAAATGTTATAGAATTGTAACATTATAGGGACTATAGAGTTATATTTATTAGCTCTCCTCAAGAGACCGAAGCACAATAATTATCATGTAACAGTTCTTATACAAGTGCTGCTAATCTGTCGTGCAAATAATAAAGCTATTTGGTTGCCTATCTAGCTATTCACAAATCACTGTAATCCGTGAGACCTAGTCTTGTTGCTCATTTGTATTAAATTTTGGGTATTGTGGGTTAATACTTTAGAACAAAATCCGTTAGCTCAGCTCTGTGAGACAGCAAACCATTTGAATCCATTAGTTTTGTTTGTATTATCAGTAGAATAAAATTTGAAGGGGCTATTTACTACCAATGACTAAGGGGGGGTATTGTGGTCTTGTACAAGTCTTGTCTGTTCTGTTTCAGAGTTGCTTAAGCCATACATACTCTTAAGGATGTTCTTCTGTTAAACGTTCTTTTTCAGCAGCCTTTCCCTGCTTTGTCTGATACAGTTGATACTTCATAGATTTTAGGAATTGAGAGGTTATTGAAACGTTCTATTTTCTCAACTTCATCACTTTTGACTCTTGCGTATGTGATTTGTCATGAAGAGTAGCAAGCCTTTCACCAGCTACTTCACTAAGTGAGTTTCAGAGTAAACACTGTGATTCTGCAGAGTGGATTCTGTAGGCCCCCGTCTTTCCAATGTTTTCTTCTTTTATATGGTGCCTACAGCCTTGAGGGCGCTTAAATACTAGAGGATGGAAAGTTAAACATTGTCATGTTTATGTTTATCGAATAACAATATTACAGAATATTTCATTTTTGTTGTCAGCGTGTTGAAAGCATTTTTGCATTGATAAATGTTCTCTAGGAATGTGACTTAACATTCATCGGGTGTGAACTCTTGTAAATGAATTTTGTATCTTGAATTCACGTATATATTAAGTGTATCAATATAAAAATAAACATTATTTGGTTTTCTTAAGAATTGTTGACAACCTAAGTGCTAAAGTCTTAGGGTTTGTTTGCCTCTTTCGGATAATACCTCATACATATTAAACTCTTGGGGTTTTGGATTCAGTGCCTATTCTCCTAGTTTGTGTATTTGTCCCGAGCCCTAGTCTTGTTTTTACCCCTCCCCTGCTCCTGGTGGTCAGAACTGGGACCCTCGCGGGGAGGGATTGTTCAGTAAAATCTAATGGGAACTGTGGACCCTGGGGCTGGGTCCGGGTC